TCTTGCACTATGGGCACAATCTGTGCTGTTATGTGCGAAATTATTTCTGATTTCATTTTGTCCAGATCTTCTTTTGTTGCCAGTTCAGGGAGTCCAGGTGGTTGAGTATCAGATTGTTCCCTTTGGGGTGGCTGTAGGTGATCTGGAAGTCTGTTTTTGAGGCTTATTTACGTGTCTTCTCATTTTGACGGGGGTGGGGGTGGGTGGGTGACGGGGGTGCTGCTGGCACCCGCACGGCTCACCTCCTCTGCCCTGGGAACAGTGGAGAGAGCTGAAAGTTTTATTGTTATTATTTTTACAGTTAAAAGAAATATTCTCCACATCACCTAGTAAGGCAGAGGCCTGTCATTTGAATCTAGGTCTATATTTTTCTATTAGCAAAAGTGATAGAACATGGTCGTTTAACAGCATGGTCATTTTAAGAAAAAATACTATCTGCAGGAGGAATAATGAACCACCGGCAGAACATTAAGGCTCAAAGTGACCACCAAGGTTTCTACTGTAAGCTTCCCAGATCCTGTGGAAAGTGAGAGGGTTGAGACAATGTCCAGTGCATGTCACATTCCACATGTCAGGAAATAGTACACGACAAAAGGTCGGCTAGGAGTAAGTACTATTGGTGATGACCGAGTTGGAATTCAATTAACGCAAGAGATGGAGGCTACCCTGGAACCTCTGAAGTTTCTAACTAAGCTCTTTTACTCATTTATTATTTATTTCTGGCTACTTACACTCAAATAGATTTTAGCTCAGAAGACACTTAAGATACATCTATGTTTGATACTCCTTCCTTCCTTCCTTCCTTCCTTCCTTCCTTCCCTCTTTTGTCTCTCAGTTCTTTCCTTCCTTTTTCTGTTTTCTTTCCATCCTTGCTTCTTTTGAGAAGTCTGCCAGTATCAAAGCCAGAAGCAAACTGGACGGGACTACTACCCACAAGGTAGTGTTAAAAGAGACTGCTAGGACCACAGTGAGGTGGGGAATGTATTCAACTAAGATGGCAGGGAAAACATCGGCAGAGGTAGACTCAAAATTAAACTCATGTCCAAGGGGGCAGCAAGCTTGAAACTGGACAAATAATGTTGAGAATCAAAGGGCCAACTCTGAAGAGTGAGATGAAAATGAAAATGAAGAGTTAGAGGCTGTTCGGGTGTCTGGAGTATGGCAGTGTAAGTCGAAACAAGCGGCTTCGGATGTGCTGCGGAGATGATAATTCAAAAGAATCTTACAGGGCTAGGTATTTATCTTGTGTTGTGTCCAATAGCTTATTTATCAAAGGACTTCTCATGGGTGAATTCTATCTATCACATCTTGGGTTTTTTGTTGTTTTTGAATGTAGTTTTGAGCTTGAAGAATATTTCACCTGCACATAAATAAAAGATAAAATATGTTGACAGTTATTTTTCACCCATGGGGAGTATATATGGATGAACTGGAAAGTATGAAGCCATAACTTCAGATCTAATCTTAGAAAAACCATCACGTCTCATGTCTCAAACCTCCAAAAGTGAGGTCAAAGAGCTCTTGAGTCATTTTCTTCTCTAGAGTGGGAGGTGTTACAGAAATACTGAGCATAAAGGTATCACTTCCGCAGCCCTGATCTGTTCTGTCCTCTGAATGCAAGATGGAAAAACGACATGGAATTTACCACAATTTTATTCCTTTGATCCATGAGTAACTTCAATTCAATTCAAATAGCAGAAACAATCTTGAATAAAAAGGAGAAACATTATGGTTCTAAATATCAATCATTGCATGGAAACATAAAGCTACCAACTTTTTCATGGACAAATCTAATTTTCTTATCTCATTCCCAGTCGCAAAGTAAAATCAAAATGATGATTTACTGTGCAAAAGAAGAAGCTGACTCCTGGATAATAGCCGTGATTTATTTCTGACCCATAGCTCTTAGTCAAGGCTGAAATATGGCCCAGCTAATCGCAGCACTAATTCATGCAACTGTCGCACTTACCACTGAAATGAGAGAGAGGCAGGGGCTGTGCTTCCAGAAATATCAGATGATTTGAGGTGAAAATAATTTGCATTCTGTAGCGGAGAGGAGAGTGGTAGATAACCACAGAGATGAAATATAGCACTTTACTTAGGATCTTAGATTGCTGGTCCAGAAGTGAAGAGGATTCCTGGAGACATGCATCATATAACGTAAACAGATGCATAATCATTAGTGATGTCACACCTAGTTTATTGTAATAAGCTACAAAATTTTCAAAGAATTGATTTTTTTTCCTGTTTGATATACAAACAAAACAAAATTATTGCAAATACAATGGCTTCTTTAGAAGTAAGATTTGGGCACCATTCGTAGCTGCTCCACATCTCCACAACCACTGTGAAAGGGTAGAAGTCTCAGGTCTACAATGTCCAGCCAAGCTAGGGTGCTCCGCCTCGGTGTCCAGTCCTAGCATGTTGACCCAGTTGTAAGTGAAGACAGAGCTTGTGTAGCTTCTGTCCCTTTCACCTAGGATGCTTCCATGAGAGCTTTTCATGGAGTTCCATTTTTTCCCTTTCTGAAGACAATGTATATCACTGAGAATAAAAACCAGTATTTACATGTATCTGTCACAAATGCTCAACCCTAGTCCAGAATACATTGGAGGGAACTTGTGGAAAATATGTGTGCTGTAATGGACACACAAAAAATGCTGTCTCTAAAATCTCTATAAAGATGAGTTGCCAGTTCCCAAATCTTGGAGAACTGGAAAATCCCTCTTCTGTTCTTCCACTACACTGACCTCATTGTAGCTTTTTTTGCCATGTTTACAAGCTATTATTTTTGCACATCACACAGTGCTGGGTATTTGTGGAAAAGAGAGAAAGACTTGCAACTTTCTCACCCTTGCTGTCAAGACAACACAATGATAGGGTGTCGAGAGGGCTGTCAAAAGCAAACCTCTGTCACTTATGACAGCATGAACTTTGGGAATTTGACTTTTTTTTTTGTACCAGGGATTGAACTCGGGACCTTGCACTTGCGAGGCAGGCAGTGGAACCACTGAGCTAAATCCTCAGCCACAATTATTTGACTTTTAAAAATGCCAATTTCTCTTTCTCTGTTAAGGGGAAAATAATAATCTACATCTTAAGATTGTAATGACGATTAAATATAATAATGTTCATGGAGTACACTCTGTATCATCTCATTTAATTTTGAAGCCACTTGATAAAGTGAAACTTTATTATTTTTCATTGTACAGATTTGTTAATATGAATTCGCAAGACCATACTGTTAAGTTCTAGGCAGGTTACTCAAATACAGTTAGTTCCATCTGACTGTGAGGGGCTGAACTCTTTGCCACTGCACGATATTCTTCCCTGAAGACTCACTGGTTTCTAATGAGGAGGCCTGAGAGCAGTCAGAGCTCTGCTAATGAATTTCATCCTTGTATTTGTGGAATATGTGACTCAGACTAGCCTCACTGTATAGAAACTTCTGTCCAGTTTACATGCTTAGAAAAGTATTGAGAACCTCAGAGTGCTTCAGTTCATGAGCATAACTTTTTATTGCTGGGTCTCATGCTAAAAATTAAAATTGGTAACTTTTATTTGAAAATAGCAATAATAAATTCATCACATGTTGATGTAATAAATGCCAGCATAAACATTTTAATGAAGAATAACTACGCTTTTTAAAACAGAAAAATGTAGTGAGGAGGGCATTGTCAAACACTTGTATAAATCTCTTCCATGGCTTAATAAAGATAGCTGATGATCATATGTGCTTCTGAGTTCAACATGTTGCAATATCATACTCTGTACGGGCTCCAGAAAGCATCACTGTCCACTAACTAAAAAGTATGATTAAAGAAATATTATTTTAGAATTATAACTAAAAGACATTTAACCTTACAGATCCTTTAAAAGGGCCTTGGCAACTTCCAGAAGTCCCTGAACTACACGTTAAGAACCATCAGCCTAGCCAATAAATGGATGCCATGAGGAATGTCTTGTTGATGTCGTTGGTCTGATACCAGTCAAACTTTAAAAATAGACTGTTTAATAGCATTAAGTATTATAAAACATGACAAAAGTTTGGATTCATATGTTGTGAAACTTTTCCACAAGTTGTGGAACAGATATGGATTTTTGCCACTACAGCTTTTACAGATATGAGAAATAATTTTCCATGATTTTTGTTAGAGCCTCATCTGACTGGTTTCATAAGCTGTTTGACAGAGCTGTTGTTTTGAGATTCAAATTCCTTTCAGGTGTTCACCCTTGGAGGATCTACCAGGCGCCCTGTGTGTGAAGTCTGTGTCAGCCCAGCTGACTTTCCCTTTCAGGGCCTCCCAGCAAGCCCACATCTCCCCTTTCCCCTATGTATACTTTGTCAGACCACTTGCGAACACACAGCCTACCTCTGTCCATCTGTGTGAAGGGCCTACAGATCATCTGGGCACTCCTACCTTTCTGCTTCCCAGCATGCTTGTTATGGTTTCCATGGCTACACTGGTAGGGCTCAGAGTTGGTCAGGCTGCCTCAGAGCACAATTTTCTAATCACCTTCCCTCAGAGAACCCTGTGTCCTTTCTTCTATGCCACTTAGTTTTCTTTCACCCTTGGCCCAGAGTGGTCTTTAATTACATGCAATTTCTTGTGATCCTGGAAAATAGCTCATCCTGAATAGTCTCTATAAGTAGTAGTCAGCTAATTCTGCAGCTAGTTGGGCACATAATAATCCTTGAAAATAAAAGTATTAAGGCTAATGGGGGTGGTTAAGCTTAATTGGGTCAACTTGATTGACTTGGGAACTGCCCGAGGGATTAGTAAGGTCCACTCCTGGGTGTGACTGGGTGAGTCATGGCAGTGTGACCTCGGGTGTGTCTGGTCCCTGGCCCCTCTACTCCCCAGGTCTTCTTCCTGGCTACCATGAACTGTGCATCCATCCTCCACCACACCCTTCCACTATGATGCTTCTGCCTTGGTGCCAGCTGATCATGGACTGAGTCCTCAGATACCCTGAACCAAGTTAAGCCTTTCCTTCTTTAACTTGTGGTGTCTCCTGTTATGTCCCAGGGAGAGGAAAATTGACAAATACACCAGTCATAGGCCTTTAGATTTAAAATCCATCTCCCTTTCTCTTATGTTCGTATTTTGCAAATGTAAAGAATTTGCATCTCATTTCTATACATTTTCCGTTTTCGTGTACTTGAATTTGCTATACCCATAAATTTAAAATATTAACTCACTTCATTACTTAAAACTAGAATACACTGAAGGGAATTTATCTCATTATAGTTTAAATAAAATCCTCTATCTTTAAAATAAAAGGAACCTTTGCAATGAGCTACATCTCCAGAACCATAAAAATAATACGATAAAGGTAAAACAAAATTATTTAATTCTAATTAGAAACAGTTATCTGCCAAAATTTTTACCCTTTGTTAAGGAAAATAGCATGAGATTGAGATGTTGATAAGGTCACCTTAATAGCAAATTTTGACTTTTTCCTTATTGATTGAAAGCAAATTGATGCAGCTCTTTAACAATATGCTACATAAAATCAGTTCACTACTCATACTTGGTAGGCACCAAATTATAGCATGTCATATTTGAAAAAGTAGTGGAAGAAAGTCCACTTTAGTTAGAGATGAGGATCCATTTATGATAAAAGTATTTGGTGAGAGTGTCATTCACAGAGTGCCCCTGCACTTTTCTTGGAGGAAGGACATGGAGGCAACATGAAGACAAAATTCAGCTCCTACTCAAAGAGCATTCACTACAGGAAAGAACAGTGTAGAAGACAGACCCATGCTTCCCTTCTCTTTCATGGTGGTCATGCTGGCTAGACACGAAGAAGCTGCTGCAGTGTCCTGCACCGACCTTCAAATAAAGAGAAGAAACACAGACCCCAGCACCTCTGAACTCACAGTTCCTCCTAGCACCATTCCCAGAGTGTGGTCTCTGAACCGGCCATGGTGATGGGTGTGGAGAGCACCTGACAGACTTGAGCTGGGCAGAACATGCAGTTTTGCCATGGAGAAACAAAATGCTGAGCACCTACAACTTTGACACCCAGCAACAGGCATTTTAACTCCAAACTGAGAAGCACTCCAGAAATCACTCTCTATATTTCTCTGCCAAATTAAATTTCTTTTCCTCCCTCATGTTAAGTTTTATATGCTTTGCTGTCATTAATTTCATAGCATGCATTTAGTTCTTTGAGCAGCCTCATTTAAAAGTAAATAATACCTTTGAACTCTACTTTGCACTTTCCAGAAGAACAGAGTTTAGTGGTTGCTAAGAATACAGGAGGCATCGTCCTGATGATGCCCGCTGTAAATTACCTGAGCCTTACATCACTGCTACAGATTCAGAATAATAACCCTTTCTACAGAGGATGAAATTTTGACTAAAGAAGTAAATAATGGACAAAATCCAAAATTGAAGGGGAGTATTTCTAACTTCAAAGCATATCTTCTTTCTCTACAAAATGCTGCAATTTACAAATCTCTCCATTAAATGATTATGATTTCATGAAGCAAAAACAGCAGCTTGTCCAGCTTGACCCCTATGTCCTACATAAACAGATGGAGTGGTAGAAAAACATGCATACTTATACATATATATTAAGATTCACATTTTAGTAGAATTATAGTAGGAAAATATGTAAAAAGTATTGTTTTGGGCAATAAGGTAGACCTATGAAAACTGTTTAGTTGTTAATCAAACATTTATAGGACCCCAATAAAATGAGAACCTCTTGCCAGATGTACCAAAAGTTACATATCGCTTCCCCTTTTTGGGTCTCCTGTCTCAGACAGTTTTAATAGATTTTTATTGAGTATCTTCTCAGGAACAAAAAGGATTCAAGATAAGGAAGGATAGTGCATTTCAAAATTCAGCAAGAAAATTCTGATCCAGTAGATCTGAGAGGAAGCCTGGGATTTTGCCCTTAGAGCCAGAGCAAGGGCCAAGGTCATGTCAATCAGGGTGTGGCCACAGACCCGTGCTGGTCAGCAAACTGTGGGTCACTGGTACACAATGGGCTATGTACTGAAACTGAGGGTAAACTTTTGAATATTTTATCATATTTCAACAGAATTTTATGCTGTTGAATTTAATAATACAAATTGGTACTTTCTGATATATTTTTGCTTTCAAATTTCATCTGTCTAGCAATTTATTTTTTGTGGTATTTTATAAAAATATTTGTCTCTTTCTCTCTCTAAATAAAACTGCTCCTTCACCACAAATTATTTGAGAATCACAAGACACTAACAATATCCCTAGCTCATATAATTCTCAATAAAGTTGGAGAAGTATGACAAGCAACCATAAACAAAAGATGTAACGTGATGGAAACCATATAAGAAATGAAGTTTTGAGCATTCTTGGGGGGTTGGAATAGAAGGATCCAGCATTTATGTATTACCTGGTCACGTGCCACACACAGTGCTAAGTTCTTAACATTTAGACCTCACAAAACTCCATCTTGAAAATGAGGAAATTGAAGATCAGGGAGATTAAGTAACTAACTCAAGACCAAAAAGGGCAGCAGTAGAATTAAAACCTACTTGTAATAAGTGTCTGTGAGCAGCTGATCCTCAAGACCTTTGAACAGTTGGCTGGGATCCCATGGTGTGAGTCTTAGCTCCCAAGCCAAACTCCAGAACTACACTTCCAGCCCTCGGCACAATGGAGGTCCAGGCATTTGTCTGGGTTTTGTAGTAGGAAGGCTGGGAAGCCAGAGACTGGAAGCCTGCTACCATAATTCGATAGGCAGAAGACTCTCTTGGCCGGTGTTGTAGGTTGAATTGTGTCCCCATCTGCATACTCCAGATTTGTGTGTTCATTCACTGAGATTTCTGACCCTTATCACCTCAGAATGTGACAGATGAGCTTTAAATGTCCCCTCCAGAACACGTGTTGAAATTGAATTTCCATTATAACAACCTAAGCCATCAGAACCTTAAGAGGTGATGAGATCATGGGAGTCCTGTGTCATGAATGGATTGATACTATTGTTGGACAGTTATTGTGGAAGTGGTTCCGGATAGAAAGATGGGATTGGCCCAATTTCCTGTCTCTATCTTGAGCATGCTCACTTGCTCCTCCACCATGCTATGGTGTAGCGGGATGCTTCTCACCAAATGTGACACTTTGATGTTGGAGTTCCCAGCCTCCAGATCCATGAGCCAAATAAACTTGTATTGTTGATTGTTTACTTTCTGTTCCTGGTAGAAAGTGAGCTAAGATAGTGACCTTATTTGGAGTAGGGTCACAGGAGATGTAAGGAGTGTTGTAGACGTAAGTAGAATCAGGTAGACCCCCAGTTCAGTACAACTGTTGTCATTATAAGAAGGGGACATTTGGATACAGACACCCATAGAGGCAGAATGCCACATGAAAATGGAGGCAGAGATTAGGGGAGGCAGCAGAAGTCAAGAAATACCAAAAATGACCAGCAAACATCCAAAAATTGGGAAAGAGGCATGAAATAAATTTTTCCTGTGCAGCCCTCAGAAGGAATTGACCTTCCCAACACACAAATCTTAGATTTATAGCCTTCTGGACTGTAAGACAATACATTTATGTTGTTTAAACAAATGTGTAACATTTCTTGAAAGAAATATTTGAATCATTAAATTAAAAAATATCCCTGTATGTGGAACAGAATTTTTAAAAAAGCTTAACAAGGAATAGCACAGTGAAATGGTAGAACATTAAAAATAATGAGAAGGATCTCAAGAAATAAGATGGTAAATTTTGTTATGGGCATTTTACTATAATATAAAGAATGGAAAAAATGATCAGAAAGGAAAGATGGAAGAGAGCTTGTGAGTTTAATCCTGTAGTGATTCTACGAGGCATGAGAAAAGACTTCCAAAAAGAGCAAAGGGCACCCACTTCCAAGGCTGGGGGAGCCTCCCATTTGTACTCTGCGTGGCTTGGACTCCAGCTGCACAGTGGTGGGACAAACTGGCTTCATTGAGGAAAGCAAGTGCAGGACTAAAAAAAATCAAAAGAGGGTCAGGTGTGTGTGTGTGTGCGCGTGCGTGTGCATGCGTGGGGAACTCTTCCTGTTCATTTGTTTCTGCTATCTTGGGTATATAGAGAAGAATATAGCTCAACATAGCAGCTCAATTCTGTTGCATGTATATTAAATACTTTATCCAAGCCAGGCAATAATCTTGATTTATGAATAGGAAGATAAGTAGGGCAGTTCTTTCTTTATTTGTGGATAATTTCATTCTGTCAGGCTATTTACTACAATTACAGGGATAAGACACAACTTTTGAAGGTATTCTTTTCACGTTAAGTACAATATTCGTGCAGTTTCTCTAGGATTTAAAGACATTTAGTGAAATCTTTTTAAAATATAGAATTCATTCTGGAACTTGATAAAAATGCCTATCACTCCATCTTGATAAGTCAGTTTTAAAAAGGACAGAGAAGGGCAGCCCCATGGTTCT